CTATCAGATCGTGTTAGAAGAATAGACAACAAGGTCGTACAGGTGATGTATTACCCATCGTTTGTAAACAGACGAGTGCGATCAGTTACAGTGCCTTAACTTGTCAAAAGAATTGCTAGAACCCGAGACTCTCTGTAACTCTGACATAAGGTCAAATCGAACATGCGTTTACATCAACTTACTTCATCGTTATTGTGTAACCGACGAGTGGACTTGTTCGACTACGTTTGGCAGTACGAGCGATCCTCTTGTCTGTTGTCGATGCTCGAGATAAGGTGACAAGGATACTACTTCAGGTACGTCCTCATTAATTAAAAGTGAAAAGTGCACGAAGTGTGGTCGCTCTATTGGAACTCGGTCGAGGTAACAGAGAGATTTGGTACAGAGAGATCTAGAAAAAATTCCTCCCATTCATTACTCGTCAATGCCGAAATATTAAATTTATTTTACTCGTCGCACGTCCCATATATTAAATAACACCTTGTAATCGAGGAGTAGCGCGAACTAAACGGATCGATGGATCTTCCCTGGAGGCTACCGCGGCGCTATCTTCGAAGTATACGCATCGATTGTACCAGGCGCGACGAGTATCGGGTTTAAACCTCTTTCTTGATAAGTCCCGTTTTGGAAAGCACGTTTCGCCGTGATCGATGCTTTCGCCCGTGCCACGAATGGCCGGGAAGGCGTAATCGCTTAATCCAACAGCATCTCGGTACGATGTAAACGGCCCCGGAATCGTCTCCATGTCGATAGAGAGTCGCACGGCCGAGAGGGGACGATCGCGGCGAGAACGTTCTGCTTTATCAGTGCAAATGGGATACCAGCGTGTTTCCATTAATTCGAATCGCGGGGTAGAATCACGGCGCGGTATGTCCATTAAAGTCAAGCGGTGAAGTCGTTAGCCTGTTCGTGGCAACGTAAATTGCCGGGCGTACAGAACGCAGGCTGCGTTTTAGCGAGGAAAGCCAAGAAAAATGACGCCCGAACAGGGGCGAGGAGTTGTTTTTCGTCGTAATAACGGCTTTTAACGACGAACACCGACCCGGTGGACACTCGAGTGTGAATAAAGCCCACAGAATGCGTCCGGTGATCCGCGTAGAGACCATCTTTGTTCGCCGACGCACGTAGACCAACCGGGGAACGCGCGAAACCCAATAGACGCCACTTCCTCGGAACCTTGACCAAGAATAAATTCCTCCGCAATGGAATCCTTCCTTTCATAAATTCAATACGAAGGTTTAGCAACAACTCCGTGGTTCGCAAAGATTTCAATGTACGCTACATCACAGGGAGAAATTCAAAGCTTAGCCAACTCCTACAACATTCCGACAACCATGTTAAGAACCTTACAATCACACCGCGGTGAGTAGGCTAAAGTGAAAGTGGTCTGTAGGTCAACTATCGACAGTTGAAGAACATCGTACCGCGTAGATGTAGAAGGCAGTGACGTCGAGGATGTCTTCTTCCCCGAAAACATAGTTCATCGTCCACTTTACTTATAGCAATTAGAGTTCGCGAACTGTAGAGGCCAGCTTAATCCATAAAAGAAAAAGAAGCTTTATCATCATCCGCCTGGCCTCTGCTTTTGATCTAGGGCTATTTCGAAACTGTTCCAACAACTGATGGCGTAGGAATCATAGGAAATCCATGACCTACTGCCAACATCCGAAGAATACGACACTAAATAGCTACAGGAGAGTAGTATCCAACGTACTCGTTCTAGCCACAGTTAGTATATTGCCTAAAGCCCAAGTCGAGGCTTCGGTCTCCACTTGCATATCCCTCCGTGACCCAGTGGATCCCATCGGTAAATATTTCTCTCCCACTCGAATTTGTTTTCGACGTGCGATCGAAACGATTAACCCGCGTCCTTCGAGGTCGTCAGCGGTCCACTTTAATCGCCTCGTTGCAGAAACTCCGTTACAGAGGGGAACGAAATAAAGTCGAGGAAAAAGCGAGCCTGGCTACGATTGCCAATGATCACGCAGGTTATGACGCGATATAAAAAGAGGTCAGAAAGGAAACGAGGTAGAGAAAAAAGGAGGGACGTTACGCAGGTACTTTACCGCGCTTTTTTCACGCCACGCGTGAACACGAAATCGTTTAATTCGAACATGGCGGAGCTGTTCGAGCGGAGACGAAGATGCCCGTGAAATGGACGTTCCGGTTTATCAGTGCATACGGCGCGCCGCGCCGCGGCTTGTTTCCATTAATTCGCGTTGCGAAGCAAACTCGTGCCATCGGAATGCCCGTTCGAGTCGTACGAGCGGTAACAGGCGAAACGAGCCGAGCTAATTTGCTACATTGTCGTCGATGCACGGGGCCCCGAGAAACCACGAAACGTCGCCTCCAAACGGGGTCAAAGAGGAGCGAGAAGTTGTGGTGTCTGTAGATAATTGAGAGCTACCAGTTATCCATAGGCAGACGTTGTTTCAATTTCATATCTTCCGAGATGACAGCCCATCCCACTCCTTGTCCTTAATGACTGGTGTATATTTCATTACAGTCTGTACGAGTAGAATTCATTTAACTTCGTGTTCTACTGTGTGTGCGTCTCTTTTTTTTTTTTTTTGAAGTTCCTACCAACGTTACATTTCCGTGTGTGCCCTTCGATAATGAATATCACTCCTACATTCAATGTAGTCAAATTTTTAGTAATTCCGATCTGTAATCGAGTTGGTAGCCTGGTCGGTCTTTTTCGTACACAAGTCCGAGTATCTAACTTTGTCCCTCGCATTTATATGTCCAGTACGGGAAAAACACGCGGCGAAACGCGTCGCAGACCCATAAAGTACTATTAATGTTTAATTTCGTACAAGCGAATGTCTTCTGCATACGCTTAGCATATGTTTTTCGCAATCGCGGTGCGCCATAAATTCCGCGCAATCCGTAGTCCACATATTACTCTGTACATTATTCACACGAGGCATTCTTTCGAACGATATTTTTCTTCTCCGTACATTATATCTATTATCTATCTGTATACTATATCTGCGATCGTGTCGCGTCCACGATTCATAAGTTATCAGCAAAACAAGTAATTTCCCTTTGCACCTGGCGGAGCTGCCATTACTCGTATCTTTTTTATTAGTATTTCTCATCGAACCGCGCGGCCGCTAGGCGACTACATCGAATTCGAGGCATGTTTTTGAGCACTAGGAAGCCGACGTTTAACGCGATTATATTTTAACGAGGGATTATCGAGTAGAGCCGACAAGGGCGGCCCGGTGAGAAACGGGCGTCGTTTAAACGCGCCAGAAACATGCCGATAATTACGGGTTAATCCGCGGGAATAATCCCGGCGCGGGATGGCGAACGGGTTAAATTGAATACACAGGCGAACGGAAATATTCATTTTCCGCGAACGAAATCATTTATCGTCACCGGCGCACCGGCCGTTAGATGCGGAAGAAATTTGCCGCAAAGGAAACAGATGCGCGCATTCCCGCTGGTCCCTTTTCCTTTGATATTTCTCCTAGTTCTCCTTAGAGCCTGTTTGCGTTTCTGAGCGAGCATCTACGATCGCGCTCATGCGTGAATACGGAATCGCTTCATTTGAGACGCGTTGCTGCGTGTCGTTGCTGCGGCGATAGGAAGAGCAAGGCTCCAAGACAGATATTGGCGAATTTCTTACCTAGATAACGATTTCGAACGACGAATAACAGGTAGACAAACTACAATATACATTTGGATGGCGGGATAAAATATTTCGCAAGCGATGTCTTGGCATTTGAATTTAATTTACATGATTTCAAACAGACGTAGGTGGATTTGTTATGTTGGTGGATTCGCCACAAGAATGAAATACGAAAACGTCAATAAATGGATTTTAGAATACAACATGGTGTTAGAAAATAAATGATTCAAATGATTCCTTTTACGTTCATATTATCGATCTTTTGATTCATTCAGATTTATTCTGTGGAATTGGTAACCGGTCGAAGCTAATCATTATATTCACGAGCTGATTAATGAAGAGCGATGCATTAAAAATATAGACACGATTCGCTCGATTAATCTTTTCCAATACACAAATTCGTTTCTTGACTCGGTCCAGATCGTGAAAGTTAACACGAGAAAACCGAAAATTAACTCAGGGAACGAGTTCTCTGAATAAACATTGAATAGAGCCAACTCGGAATTAACTTGTAAGACATTACGAAGAATGTCGCGACTGATTAGCAGAGGTTTGATCAACACTTTGTAATTAACATGCAAGCTATACGTTGCTTTTAGCATTTTACCGATGGCATCGGGCTATCTTTATATTTTTAGAAGTTTGGAGACGTTTTTAAAGTGACTCAATTTTGATTACTTTTCGGTCCCCCTAATACAATCCTAGGACAGAAACGCATCGAGACCCGATGGACTCAACCGAATTCCGATTTCGAGAAGACGTCGCAGACAACTGACCGCCGCGATAAAAAGCGAGGACCGATCTGCGTAAACGCGGAATGGTCGCGGAGGAAACGCGGCGTGGAACATATCGGGTAAGGATAAAGAGATACGTAGGAAAGGACGCGCGTTCCGCTTTATCAGCGCACACGGCATACCGCGGCGTGTTTCCATTAATTCGCGTCGCGGGGCAAACTCGTGCCGTTGGAATGCCCGTTGAAGCCGAGGAGAGAAGTCGTTAGGCTGCGTGCCGTTCGGCCAGGCAACCGGTTCTCCCATCGGTGATTCGTCGTTAATTCGCCGATGGAGAGTAAGTAATCGCACGCGTACCAACGACCACCTCGAGTGTGTTACACGGTTAGGTTCGCGCCGCGCCTACCTCGGGGTTGTTCCGATTTTCCTCGCCGATAAGCCCACTCCCCCTCCTCGGAGAAAAAAGCGAGAAATTCCTTCGACCCTTTTCTGGAAAGAATTGTCGCGTCCTTCGACTTGCTCGATAATTTCTTTTCATCTCGCTCTGGTGTAGGCAAGCGTCGATGGTGGAAGGAATTCCCACTTTGTAACAATTGTAATTACCTGACTACGATAATAAAGTAAGCACGTACCAAATAAGTTCGCCAGCATAGAAGTAGAGGCTCCTTCTGTAACACAAGAGAGATGAATTTTAATTATTAAACCGTAATTATGATGAAACGATGTATCGTAAAAATATTTTTGAGTATCGTTCGATCCACTCCGAATAAGCGATTTTTGCATTCGATCCCGAAGAAACGTATCGTTTCTGAAAACCGGTCGCGATAGAGGTAGGTGTACATGAAACGTCGGTAGGTTTAGTGTTAAATACACGTTCACACTTTGCGGGCCACGCGACTGTTGGGAGACCTAAACGCGCATACGTGGACGTCGCACACATCGAAGTAAAAGCTGGTCAGACGATGGGAGAGACACTCGCGCATTATATGCACGCATGCGCGACGAACAGGCTGTATTATTATATTTTACTTCGCCCGACGCGGAAACCCCGGGATAATTTGCGCGAATGAGCCGCAATTATCTAAGGGTCTGCATACGTAAGAAGGGTGGCAAGAATCAACCGCTCGCAGGACAGCGTCATTTTCGCTACTCGCAATTACCAGTCTCTATCGATTCGAGTCGCCTTCGCCGAGCGTCGCCATCGCGAAACGAGCTCATTACTTTTTCCGAGAACTATTTTTCGCTAACTAATAAAAGCTCGACTGATAACAATCGTTTGCACGACGCTGCCGTCGCTCGAAGACATCGATTGCGCGCTTCGGAGGCAAAATATGTTAAAGGAGTGGAAGAGTGGAAGGTAGAATGGCGAGAAGTGCAGGACGAAGGTGTACAGGACAATTTGTAATCGTCTCGACGGTTTCTTGAAGGCGAGTTTTGAATTTTAATTTTTAATTCAAGGTGCTTGTGACTTGGAACTACTAACATAGATGCTACTTGCATATCCTTCCCAAAGATTTCAAACACTTCGACTTGCTTATATCTAAAAATAGCGTATTCCAATTCATCTCGTTAGCTCGCTGCGAACTAATCGAAGCATCTTCACGGTGGAGTACTTACCAAAGAAACCTAAAAGGAACAGTACGTTTAGCAATAAAGGTTCTAATACCTTCGCGAACCTCGAAATTATGTGGTGTTTGCGCAGGACCCAGGTTAAACGCTGAACGACACCAATTTACCGGGTCCCGAGGAGAAAGCGTTCTTTACAGTTTCGATGGAGCACAAACAAGGCTCGCAACACGCGCCCCCCTGGAAATGCACCGCGGCGCTAGAAAGCACGAGGGCGTCGGAGGTGGTTGGAGTGGCTCGGGGGGTGATTATGAGCGAGTAAGTGCCGCCGTCCAGTTTTTACCCCCCTCCCCCCCCTCCCCCCCCGCTGACCGTCCCTCTTCTCTATCGTGGCAACTACCCCCGCCACTTTTACCACGGCTCAACTAAACCCCAACGGATCAATACGCTAAAACATTGCAGCGTCGGGACGCCGGCGTGTAAAACCCGAAAGAAATAACAGTGGCTTGGTGTTGTTCTTCGGTCACCTCGTGACGCCCTATCAGCCGTCGCCTCGCTAATGAACTTCCGCTTGGATCCTGACCCCCTTTCCCCAACCCCTGTCCGGTCGCCAACGGAAATTTGGGCGGGAAAGCGTTTATCGAATCGAAAATGTCGATATTTTGCAGCGCGCATCTCCACTTTTTATTAGATTTACGTTCTTGTAAGCAAGGAACAGGTCATTGCTGTTCGTCTGAGTTTCAAGGATGTCTAATTTGGTATAAATTAATTGCAAGGGATACCTTTATTAACAGTATTGAAATATGATCTCCTGAATTTATGATTTTGCCTGTATTGGTTGTAATAGCGATCAACCCTTTGAAAGCTGAAGAATGAAATTATGAAAGTGCATCGAGAGGTGTAAATTCAAAGTAATCAATGTGAACTTGATTAGAGACACGTTCGGCACCTGGTCTAGGCGACTAGCTAATGCAATTGCGTGTTCGAATGAAATTTGGAGTGCCGCTAGTCGAAGGAAAAGAAACGAATATGAAGCTCGAAGCACGTTTCTTGCGTAGCCTCGAAAAGATTTAACGCTGCGAAAAAATCGCTCATTTGCCCTATTAATATCTTTTTACAATGTGGCGTTTGCGATCACCTGCAACTGTTTTATAAGTACTTTTACTCTCACGCAATCCAAACGTTTCTACCTTTCCAGAATCTACAGGCTTGTATTATACCTTTTCTCTTACTTTACAATTTCTGTTGTCAAAGCGCAATTTCGTATAATAATGCAGTACAATATAATTTAGAGAATGGTATCAAAGAGCAACCCTCGCAGCTTATTCATTCCTTTATAACATTTTTACATGTATCCACAAGTAATATAGATAAAAATTAAAAATTGTGAAGGTCTCCGACATTGAAACGAAGGATGCTACATCTATCTACTAGCATAGCTACGAGCCATCCCTGGCGTGCCTCGATTACTGGCGCATCGAATCATCGTTATCTTCTATTTGCAGCCGATAGATTAGGTAGAAAGCGGTTTTCGGAGCACGGGTAAAACGGGCTATCGATAAGCAAGCACTCGAAGGGCACGAAAGACGGATGAACGGACGTCCGTGGCCTACCGCAACTCGCATAAGACACCGATCAGCCAGCTCCGTCCTCTCCCTTTCCTCGTGAACATACGCGCACGCACATGAGCGCGATCGGCGTCGGGTTCTTACGTAAGTCCAAGCTCGTGTGTGCTCGACATAACGTTGCCTTTCCGTGGACGGTCGATATATCGATTGTCCTCGACGGACGACAGACTGGTCGTCGACCAGGAATGAAGGAAAGAGGGCCAGAGAGGGTTGGGAGGAGGGGTTAGAGAACAAGAACAAGGCTGATGGCCGTGTGTGTCTGGCTTGTGGTCACTTGTTGCCGTTCCACCCCCGGGGGCTGACCTTGTCCCTCTGTGTTTGGGGAACGCTTGTCGTTCGACCGCCGACAAACCATCCACTGGCTGAAAGATCTCTCTCCCGTCGATTGGGTCAGCTTCGAGGAATTTCAGGCTGCTGGAAATTCTGGGTTCCACTTTCTTTCCCCGCCACACGCGATCAGATCGCTTGTCGAAGGTCAGTAACCGACGGTCTTGTTCGGCGACCGACACGTGCCCGTGACAGAGGGTGTCGTAGTTGCGACGAATTCGGGGTAAGAATGTCACTGGAACGAGAACATTGGTCGTTCGATACGGATTCGAGATCGGGAATTCCACGAGTGGCTAAATTTATTTGATACATTTATGGTATTTATGGGATTTACTGTATATGACCCGAAAGTTACACGGGCTTATAGAAGGTTAATTCCCAACCTGTGCGTTATTCGGTCCTGGAAATATTCAATAGTGCTCGCCGTATCGATCATTCGCATTACAATTTTTGATAAACTAATCGGCGATGAACCGGAGCAGTACAATTTCGTGTCAGGAAAAATTCGTCGCGACCGTTCGCGTCGAACATTTTCACCCCGACGAAGAGCTCGTGCGAGTATGGAACTCGGCATTTGCATACTTATTAATTTCATCGGTTTTTTTTTCCAAAATCAACTCGTTCGCGAGCCGTAAAATTTTCACCTCCCGATAAACGCGACTAATAAAAATTATCCATTTTATTTTATATTTCGTGTTCGACGTTCTTTCTCGAACCAGGCGGAGGAGGGCGGGGCGGGGGGGGGGGGGGGCGACAGCGGGATAAAAGTTCCACGGGCATGACCTCGCTTCTAAAAGAAATACAAACTCTAAATCACCGATTCCAATCTGTACGAGTCGTCGATTATACAATAATTTCGCGTCGTTAGTGTCTCCGGCTGGCAATCGCCAAACAATTTAAAGCCGCGTCTTTTACAGCGTTTCTCGGACGGTTCCACCGAGATTATCGTTATCGTTGGAAAGGTAAGATATGGTAAACAGTCGATAATAGCGCCCTTACCGTCGCTCGCTTGGAACTTCTCCGACTGAAGTGAACGACATGCGGACGCTCCATGACAAACACAGACGTCTCCTGAATTTTTCTTATCTCGTATCCAATTGGAGGCGTGATTATCGAAAAATGAAATGATCTTGCATCATGCCAAGGTAAACGTAATAGTAGTTGACCGTTCGAGTGAATATCGTCACGAGAACTTATATATCCTAGGTCAAGGTAAAGTAGTATCAGTTAATGTCTTTTTAAAACTGAATTTATTTAAGTAATATTGTAATTGTTTTAAATAACGAGGTCCCAACAGTCGTTCCTATTTTACAAACATAACCGTGGAAGCCTTTACTTTAATCCCTTTTTTTCTGGAAGTGCCACTGATACGCAATCAGCTACTTTTATCATGGCATCGTTACGTGCCGGTTGTTTTTGTTGGTTAGCGTTTCCGGAATCCTCGATGCCTTCCAATAAAAGTCCAATCGAGGCGATTGTTCCACGCGATCATTATTCACGGGGCACAGGCGTGCCCTCGGCATTTTATAACCATAATTAACGCTAGAAGCGTTAGGGCTGCGCGTTATCTTTCATCTCGCGCGTGAAACGCTTCCACCAACGCATCGCGCGTTCTTTCTAATTACAGTTTCCAATTATTGTGCGTTGTATTGTTGTCGTTTCTGTGAATGTCGGTCTGTCAAAGTTTAACGCGTGGCGAGCACCCAACCAGCATAACGTTACGCGTTTAACCAACATAGGGAAGTCGTGTTTGAAAATCGTCCAGGAAATTCGTGTTGACATCAAACAATTCGTTCTTTAAAATAATTAGCGTTTACCTCATTCAGATCTGAATTATTTCTTTTTTTCTAATTTTTTCATGCCCTTGCAATTTTTCTTATGCTCTGTTGTTGAAAAAGTATTACAAATAGTTCAGCGACACGTCTGTCGACAATACTCGAATCAACAAATCCATCATGTGACCGACAACCCTGCCTAAAACCTAAGAGGATTAACTCCACACTAAATAAACTTTTATCGCGAATAAAATTGGCTCCGTCGGTAATTTCAGTTCCACTTCCCACAATTTTTATCCCCCTCGATTCGAAAGACACGAGACAGTCAATGTAAACGTAATTTCATTTCAGTTCCCATTTGCGGTAATAAAA